CATCCATCCATCCATCCATCCATCCATCCATCCATCCATCCATCCATCCATCCATCCATCCATCCATCCATCCATCCATCCATCCATCCATCCATCCATCCATCCATCCATCCATCCATCCATCCATCCATCCATCCATCCATCCATCCATCCATCCATCCATCCATCCATCCATCCATCCATCCATCCATCCATCCATCCATCCATCCATCCATCCATCCATCCATCCATCCCTCATCCACCCCTCATCCTTCCCTCATCCATCCATCCATCCATCCATCCATTCGCCCACCGATCCACCCCTCATCCATCCCTCATCCATCCGTCCGTTCATCCATCCATCAACCATGCACCCATCCCTCATTCATTCGCCCACCGATCCACCCCTCATCCATCCCTCATCCATCCGTCCGTTCATCCATCCATCAACCATGCACCCATCCCTCATTCATTCGCCCACCGATCCACCCCTCATCCATCCCTCATCCATCCGTCCGTTCATCCATCCATCAACCATGCACCCATCCCTCATTCATTCGCCCACCGATCCACCCCTCATCCATCCCTCATCCATCCGTCCGTTCATCCATCCATCAACCATGCACCCATCCCTCATTCATTCGCCCACCGATCCACCCCTCATCCATCCCTCATCCATCCGTCCGTTCATCCATCCATCAACCATGCACCCATCCCTCATTCATTCGCCCACCGATCCACCCCTCATCCATCTGTCCGTTCATCCATCCATCAACCACCCACCCATCCCTCATCCACCCCTCATCCATCCATCCATCCACCAGCCATTCACCCACCGATCCACCCCTCATCCACCCATCCATCCCTCATCCATTCGCCCACCGATCCACCCCTCATCCATCTGTCCGTTCATCCATCCATCAACCACCCACCCATCCCTCATCCACCCCTCATCCATCCATCCATCCACCAGCCATTCACCCACCGATCCACCCCTCATCCACCCATCCATCCCTCATCCACCCATCCCTCATCTGTCCATCCATCATCCAGCTGCCCACCGATCCACCCCTCGTCCATCCCTCAATCCATTTGTGATCCATCTATCCCTCATCCATCCATCCATCCATGCACCCATCCATCTATCCCTCACCTGTGCATCCTTCCCTTCCCCCTTCCTCCATCTGTCCATCCATCCCTCTATCCCCATACACACCCCTTCATCCACCCCTCCATCCCTCCGTCTTCCTGTCCCCATACACACCTCTCCAACCCCATCCCCATCCCCACTGCATCCGTCCCCACCTTCCCCCCTCCTGCCCCCTACGGTCCCTTCTACCCATTTATCCATCTGTGTGCATCCTTCCCTTCCCCCTTCCTCCATCTGTCCATCCATCCCTCTATCCCCATACACACCCCTTCATCCACCCCTCCATCCCTCCGTCTTCCTGTCCCCATACACACCTCTCCAACCCCATCCCCATCCCCACTGCATCCGTCCCCACCTTCCCCCCTCCTGCCCCCTACGGTCCCTTCTACCCATTTATCCATCTGCCTGCCCCGGAGCAGTGGGCACAGTGTGTGCTTCCTCTGGGTCTCCCCCCCACTGAAGGCCTGGGGCGGGGCGGCTGGTCAGCGGGGCTGCGTTGGCTCCGCCCGCCCCCGCCTCTCTCCCTCCAGGTTGGCTTGGCCCCGCTGCATGGGGCAGGATGTTCCCCTACCGGGCGGTGAACATCTGTCTCAACCTCTTCAGCTTCCTCCTCTTCCTGCTCACCGGCGCGTGTCCCTACTGGCTGCTCCTGAGCTCGGAGGTGGGGACCTTGCATTTGGGGATATGGAGCTTGTGCAAGGGGAACTTCTGCAAAAGCCTGCCTGCCAGATCCAGTTCGTGTCC